GAGGTTCCGCGGGCGCCCCAGGAGCGTCCTTGGGCGGGCGGGCGGTCGCGGGGAGCGATGCGCCGGCGGCGCCTGTCCGGAGAGGAAAGCCGGTCTGTAAAGCCAGGGCATAGTTTTCAGAAGCTTTTGTGAAAGTCCGTCTTAGGAGGACGTGATTGATGTAAACTGATTAAGCGATAACTGCTCGTTTCCACATTGGTGCAACAAATAGCTAAAGAAGCAGAAAATGTGCGAAAGTAACGTCTCCGGCAGTACTGTTACTAAGCGGCCGACGAGGCGCTTACAGTTGCACGGTGAATAAATAAATGCGATTTAAGTTATTCCACAATTAGAAAGCATTGTAATTCAAAAGGACTGAAGGATTCATAAATTGTGAATGAAGATGGAAACGATGATAAGGCTTATTCAGTGATTGGATACAGTCCTGTAGCTTTTTGGCTGACACATTTTTTATTGTTTATATTTTGTTTGGCATCTAAGTGTGATTGACTTAGATATGGATATTTTCAGCAAGTAAACGTGAGCTGCAGTGGAGCAAAGCTGGAAAAGGGTACTGTTGAGATATTTCTTCTTCAAAAGAGAAATGAATGCATGTAGGAAGCGACACGCGTACAGGTACACACTTAGAAATAATTACTTACGATGGAATCTGCAATTAGTAAAAATAAATTCTGTGTGGGCTGTCCAGCCTGTGAGATTATTGACAGGCAATAAGACCTCTGCACCAGAGTATAAACCTGAGGGTACAACTTCACAAAGCGGTTTTTACACTCGAAACGCACAAATTTTCACTGCCACCTCTACTACAGCGGGTAGTTAATTTTGTTGTTTCCTGCTCTAATGACTTTTTTTTCCCCCATATGTTTGCTTTTTGGACTCACAGATATAGGAGATTTCCTCATTCTTTACAAATCTGTATTAAAATACTGCACTCAGGTGTATACAAAAACACAACATTGTACTTCTACAGCCATATGTACAGGAAAGCAATTCCTGGCTTTCGTGCATTGATAACCTCTCCATAATATTTTACGGTCACACTGTATCATGTACCACGCAGAGACAGGTCCCATTTAGTGGTAGATACGTGGAACACAGTCACAGTGAATTGACTTTAATTTGAAATCTTCCTCTACCTCTTTGGAATGGTAAAGGCATTTGAAAAATCATCTTTCCTCTCCATAAATTAAAAATTGAGATAACACTGGCAATGAGAATTTATACTTTGTGTTATTTATTTATTTAAAGCAAAAGATTGATTAATCTTGAATAGCAACTGAGTTAAAGTAGGACTGCCAAAATTGTTCTCTCTACTGTGTTCTCCGTCTGTAGGGCTCTTGCTATGCATGTTGACTGTGGCAGTGTATGCTCAGAAGCAAATATTTTGGTAAAAGTTCTGAACATGGAACACCTGTTTGGACTGAGCTCCTTGGGAGTAGTTCAGTTTGTGCTGAGACAGCTCTGATGCACCTTTCAGAAACAAGTCTAAAATCCAAAGTACAGCTTTAAGACAAACCTTGTCAGTTCAAATGATACCCATCACTCTTTCAATAAAAGTTTGATGGGTGTAAAATAACTCCAAGGAAGAATGAAGACTTACCAAATGCAGTTTAATTTTGGGGGGGTCCTTTCCTCTCCTTCTTACATGGCTCTCTCCCCCTGTTTTGGAATAAGTATAAACTGCATTTATCTCTCTTGCTGAGGCATGATAGGATGGAGTTACTGCATGCCTTTAAGTGCTTGGTCTCTTGTGGTATTTTTGCCGTGGTTTATTTTTATGTTATGGTGGTCCAGGAAACTCAGAATATGTTGTCATTTTCTTTTCCTCCTGGAATGTGTTGTTTCATTAGGCACAGAGAAAATCCATGCAGGGAAATTGAGTACATGAAGTCTTCTGTATAAAATTTCTGGACTTCTGCCAGGTATATTTATTGTGTGGTCCTCAGTTCAAACTTGCACGCATTGATACAAAGTTTATAAAAGTGGAAGACAGGAGAAGGGAGCTGCATTTCCCCTTTACCTTTTCCAAAAAGAAATCTTGGCCTATTTATCACCATCAGATGACTGGTATTTTTCCCTTTGTTTACAAGCTAAATGGATATTATGTAGTAAGTTCCATTTTAATTTAAATTGCCAGTGCACAATGGTTCACCTGAGCCATTTGATATGATGTTTGAAAATCTTACCTCCATAAATCACTTTATTGCAAGAGCAACTGTGGCACATGGATGAGTGCCACATAAAAAAAATATTTCTATATTGCCTGTATGAATATTAAGGGCGGAAAAAAATCAAATTCTGTAGATGGCTTTTTAGGAGGTTTAGTGGGGAACGTGTGTGATTCATTGCGAATCTCCATTTAGGATCATTTTTATGGGCACTTCTTCTTGTCAAGTAATGTTTCATTTGAAAGGACTCCAGATGCACAATGAATCTCTCAAAGATATCTGGTAATATGGCTTTAGAACAGGATGTTATTTGCTGTGTTTCTTCTTCACACTCTTTCACATATATTTGTATCTTTAGGACTTAACGGTAGTATGAAAGAAAAGCCAGAATACAGTTTTAATAAGTTGTTTTTTGTCCCCCCCCGCCCACTCTTTGAAAAAGAAACAATAAAATACTACAAATTGGAATTTAAAAAGTGGGATTTTTCTCTCTAAGATTTTCATAGATGTAAAATGCTATAGGTAATTATTGGTAACACTATGTGCCTTACCTAAAGGCATAGCCATTCCAAAATAGTTTGTGGTGTTCTTCTTCAAAATGAAAACTATTCTAGTATTCTAGTAGTGTAGAATATTTCCACATTAATTTTATTGCCATTTTAAGTTATAAATGCTGAAATCTGTTTAGATGTAGGGGAAATCATTGTATCGGGGCAAAAATTCATCTCTCCCAAAGCTCTTCAGCCCCCTGCCTTTGCCCGGCCTTTAGCCCCAGCTGTTAGAATTTTCAAAATCTGTAGCAGGTCTGTTTTATTCAGTCTAAAATGAATTGTAAGGATTTCACACTGCACAGTCTTTATGCTTATGTTAATTTTTAAAAAAAATTTTATTTGAATATTTCGGTTAAGATGAATTCTGTAGAAGAAAAAATAAACTTTCTTTAGTAGTTATAATTGAGGGGGGGAAAAAGCATGGCATCAGAAAGCGTATGAAGATAGGGAAGTCTTATCATGGGCTGTGGTTACTCAGAGCAGTATTGCCTTCCCACACAAAGAACAGATTGTGGTTTAACTCTTTCCATGGCCTAGTTTTATGTGCCAGTATAGTATCAGAATTGTTCAAATCTCTGCTGGAAACTACTAATCAGTTTAATTATTGCCTTTGTGGCTCTTTGTCAAGCATCATACTGTAATGCAATTGTTTATGTCCTGAATTATCTTCCTATATTGTCTCTCTCCTCTTTTTTTCTTTTTTTTTTTCCTTTTCTTTCTTTTTTTTTTGTGAAGGTAACATGGCCATACCTAAACTGCTTGCAACTTTTCTGTTGTTTTCTGTTTGATTTGTGGATGGTTAGGGAAGAGAGGTAACTGGATCTAGTGGGTTTTTTTACCATTCAGGAAATTTTGAAGTTTGTTTGAAATTTGAAGATTTAAATACTCAATTCTTGGCCTGAAGCTTCTACAATGGCAGTCTGAACTCTGTATAATTGAGACCATTAGTTATACTTTCATCATTTTTACCTAATGGAGTTAATCAGCCTATTGATTAAACATAATTCATTCCTTGCCTAGCAGCGTAGCTAAAATATTAGTTTGTTAATTGTATTCTTGAAAATAATTGTATAAAAAAGGTTCAGTTTTAGTTTGATTGCACCGTGCCACTCAGTATGATGAGCAATCTGCATGATATTTAAAACTAAATGTGCCTGCACACAGGGAGAAAGATACCACCTCTAAGGTCTCCCTTCCAAACTGAAGTGCAGTAATGTTTGATAAGCAGATCGCGCTGTTTTAGACAGCGGATCTACTCACGGAAAAGAGGCATTAGTTTTTGGGAAAGGCCTACTTAGATATTAACATGAATGTGTAGGATGGTACTTTAAGCAGACAAAATGAATTAATTTAATTGCTATAGGTTGTACTTGTAGATGACAACTAAGCATTACCTCGTTAATGTAATCCATATTGCTGCTAGGCAGAAGATAAGAACTTGCAGGTGAAGCCAGATGACAGAAAGGGATATTTTGGAACTGTAAATAAATTGCATGGATTTCACAAAAGCAGCATTTGACCAGCGGTGCACTCATAATGTCACTCTGCCACAGCATGCAGAAACACAAAGAATGCAAAGTTTGTGCCAAGTTGCCATTTTTCATTGTACACCTCAGATTGATTTTTAAGGGGTTTAGAATAATTGCCACACTCATGTGATCAGTTAACAAATTAACTGACTCTGTGGGGCTTCAAAACACACAGTGGAGCTGCCGGAAGAACATAAATGTAATTTTTGTTCTCAACTTCATAAACTTTTATTTTACAGAGTTTGGGGGTAGTGGGAGGGAAGCCTGAAGAGCCGAAAGTACAGAAGCTTCTGTTCAGGATCTGTATACGACACGCTGTGTCTTTTCCCGCTTTCCCTTACTGTATACTGGTTTCTCTAGTTACCACCACTGGAATGGTGCTGTTTCAGTGCTGGAATGTTGGACGTTTGATAAGAAAATGGATCAAGTTTAATGGCGCATGCTCTTTGTGCCACCAGCAGTCTCTTGCTGAGAGCATGCTCCAAAAGCGGGAACTGTGTGGCATTACACTGAGCATGTATATGCTTTGTGTTTCTGTGCCACAGAGAAGAGAAATGAACTGTGGCATTCGCCTCAGCCTTCTGAACGTTTCTGCTCAGATTTTTTAAAACCGTATAGTGTCCTCTTTGTGCAATGGTACTTTTCTTGATGTTAGCCGTTCACTCAGATATTTAAGTGCTAGAAACAAAACATCTTGTTAGCATCTCTTTTAAATGATGTTGTCTCTGCAGCGCTGCAGGATGAAGTGAGGGGAGGCATACGAAATAAAATCTTCACATTTTTTTTCAAAGAGTGAAATATGGGGAAAATGTGATTCTCTGTGTACTTTTTGTCTACTGCCTGACAGCGGTAGTAATTGTATAAAATATGTTATGCAGAAATTTGCCTAAATTTTAAGTGTTTATTCTCTTCGTCTTGGATTTCACTTTAAGATTTTCAGAAACCTTTCTTGATACTGCTTTGATTATGAGAACTTACTGACTTTGAGTTTTCTTCTTCTCTCTTTTTTTTTTCCCTCCACTTCTTTCCACAGGATGAATTTCACCCGTTCATTGAGGCACTTCTTCCACATGTCCGTGCAATTGCCTATACTTGGTTCAACCTTCAGGCTCGAAAACGCAAGTACTTTAAAAAACATGAGAAACGAATGTCAAAGGACGAGGAAAGAGCAGTCAAGGATGAGCTGCTTAGCGAAAAGCCTGAAATTAAACAGAAGTGGGCATCCAGGCTCCTGGCCAAGCTGCGCAAAGATATTCGCCAAGAGTTCCGGGAGGATTTTGTGCTCACGGTGACTGGAAAGAAGCACCCATGCTGTGTATTGTCCAATCCTGACCAGAAGGGTAAGATTAGGAGAATCGACTGCCTGCGACAGGCTGACAAAGTCTGGCGTCTGGATCTAGTCATGGTGATCCTGTTCAAAGGCATCCCCTTGGAAAGTACGGATGGAGAGCGGCTCATGAAATCCCCACATTGCACAAATCCAGCACTTTGTGTCCAGCCACATCACATAACAGTATCAGTCAAGGAGCTTGATTTGTTTTTGGCATACTACGTGCAGGAGCAAGGTAGGAAGCAGATTGTTGTGTTTCTATGTTAGTATGTCAAACTCTGATTCCAAGTAGCCCTGTTTCCCCTATGGGCTGGCTTCCAGTGAAACATTATTCTGTGGTCTATAGACGTAATGTGGGTACATATCCATATGTAAATCAGCATGTATACGTATATACTTACATACACACACATTCCTACAGACCTGTGTAAATGACATGTGTGTTTGACATACATGCCTTTCTCTCTTTCAAGACAGAGTGGAACGTACCAAGGTAGTACTTTAGTTCCGCTGAAGTGGCCTTTTTTTTTTTTTTTTTTTTTGTCGAAAAGCGGCAATATATTGTGTAGTTTTTTCCAGTCATGACTTCAGAAAATGTTCTTCTTGTTTTTCAAGTTGTTTTTTTTTTTAGTTGCCCCAGTACTGTTAATAACAGATGCAGGTGTGTGCAATTGCACTATCACAATAAATAATACAAATATTTATTATTGTCTTTGTAGTTACAAATAATCAAGAATTCATCCGTAAATTGATGAACCTATTATCACTTTGAAGAGCAATTATAGACTTTTTCATGTCTATAAAATAAAACATGAAAAAACTTTAGCACAGAAATACTGCCTTGTAAATACCATGCCTAGTCAGAATTACAGCATACAGCACGTAACAGTTTATTCATATTTTACATCGCTAGCTCATCTTACCTATCTGTGCTTTAAAACAAAGATCCAGGTTGTAATATTTTGAGAGAATTTTCCATGAAAAGTATATTTTCATAATCACACTTGTATAATTAATTTTATTTGGCAGATAATTGAAATGTGGAAAATTGCAGGAACACTATGGAAAAGCTTCTTAAACTTAGTTTTACAGGACAAAAATAAAACCAGGGCCACTGATAATCATGTATCAACTGCTAGTTGTATTGCATATTCAGATAACAATACTTATAGGCAGTTTCCCTGAAATTGTAAATGGCTGTAAGTAGATGAAGGTGTTTTTTTCTCCGATTCTAAGCCTTCTGAAATGCTTTTTCTCTGTGAGGGGTCATTTTGGTTCTTTCTGGGGATTATACCATCCTCTAGGTGTCTTTGTATTGCTGACTGATCAGCAGTAATAAAGCATTTCTTTTTTAGCTACAGATCTCAACCAGGGAAAGTTTGGGTGGCTGCAGATGGTGGGCCATTTCACAACTTGGCCTGGTAGTAGGCAGAAATGGCCTGCAGAAGGGCAGATGGCAGGCTGTTATCTGATGCCCGGTACATAACAGCGGGATTTAACTGAAAAAAAAATGCAATGGATTTTGTTAGTAACAAAAAAGTAAAATTGCACATGTCTTCATTTGGTGTGTACGCATTCTTTAAAAGAACAGATACACAACACAACCTTTTTTTTTTCAGTGAATTTCTCTTTTAGCATTTCTTCATGCAAATGGAGCACTATGTTTACATGAACGTATAAATAGGGTTTAATTTTTTGGATTATTCATCATGAAAAAATATGGTTCATTTTTCAGTTTTGGTTTTTTTGCCTGCTTGTATTTTTTTGTATTTTTCTCTCCACAGCAGTAGACAACACTTAGATATTTTGCAGCGAGTTTAAGTAGCTGCAGAGTCTGGTAAATCTGATCCCCAATAACACAGAAAGAAAGATTTCTTTGATAGCATTAAACAAAATAGCTTAATTACAAATAATTTGTACCTTTAAACTCCTTTTGTGAAGAAAAAGTCTAATGATATTTTGAATGCATATATTGCAAGACATAGCTTACTGATTAATTCGAACGGATTTACCTGTCTCTAAAAGTCAAAACTACAAAGAGAGGCAAAACAGTTTAAGTAGCTCTTGAGCCAAAGAAGCTGAGGTCAGACTACTCTTACACATTGTTGACTTTTAAGTTGTTGGAAGCCAGTAACTTCAAGTGAGAGAAGGAATTGCAGGGCATAGCTGATTTTATTGATTTAAATGGATTGAGAATATGAGTTTATTTAAAACACTTGTCTAATCAGAAACAAGAAGCATGCTGTAATATTATAACTTTCAAAGTTACACGATGCTACTCTGAGAATATACTGGAAGATGAAGCTGGCTAATTTCTATGTACCAAGTCACCCTTAGTAGACCCTTTTGTTTATTGTGAACTGCACGTATTTTCTGTCTGTCCTGCTGCTTCACAGTAAATCTTCCATGAACATCTGTTGGCTCTCTTCTTGAAGAAGTCATATTAAGTTATCTTTGTATTTTTATTCTGTTTTGTCAAACTTTTATTCTCTATCCTCATTGAAAGCAGGTTAATTGTGGCGCTTTGTAGTGCACTTGATTAAGAGCACCAGGCTTTGCAAAAGATAAGCATGAAGTCAACCAAAATGCTGCATTATACACATACCTTTTTGCCTTTTATTTCTCTTTTAGAATATATAAACTTGCCTAATAGCATCATGTAAAAACTAAGCGGAGACATAGAAACGATTAAATCCCTGAACGAAATATGAAGAAGGAATTAGCACATAAAATGAATAAAGGGGCCAAGTAGTTTGGTTTTTTGTTGCTTTAAAAAAGAAGATTAGGGGAAAAAAGAGGAGGAAGGATAGTTCGAGTGCCAGTGATGGTTGCCAGTGGCACCAGCATTGGCATCAGACCTTCTTTGTTTAGCCTAGGATGCCTGTGATTTGTTGGTTGGCATCCGCATTGCAGTGCAGAGTAATGTTACAATATATTGACAATTTCCAGATCTAGAAGTGTCAATAATCCTTTCAGTCCTTAATAAAAAGAGCTTCTACTTCCATGCCTGCCTTGAAGGAAGAAATAAGGACCGACCTATGAAGTTGTCATTGACCAACTTCATCTGGTTCTACTTTTCACTCACCTCCCTCAGAATTCAGCATCTTCCCCCCGCCCCCCCCATTCCCTTTCTACTATCCTCTTGTGCTTTAGGATCTTAAAAAAAAAAAAAAAAGAAAAAGAGGCTTGACATAAGTTGCAGTGCTGCTCCTTTGAGTGAAATGGAGGAAGAAAATGGGAAATACACACTGTGATCAATGTTTAACATAAAAATAATTCTTAATCATTACACAATCACAATTCTACGGGGCTCTGCTTGTTGTGTGTATCAGGTTCACCCCCCCCCCCCCCCGAGTTTTTAAAAAGCCCAAACCTTGAAAGTGGCATAAGCGTTGTTTCTATTGACAAAAACTGCCTTTTTTTTTTTTTCTTTCTTCTTTCTTTCTTCCTTTTTTTCTGTCAGGCATCAGAGAGTGTCTGTCTTTTGGTGTGAAACACATCTCGGTCCATAAAATCATTTGATGGTATTTAATTCAGTGCAGCGCTTATGCTGTGTTCCCGTTGCTACAAGAACCGCCATTTTGTTTGTTGAGTGCCAGGAGAGGGGAAAAAAAAGGCAGACAATGTGCTTGATGCCAATAATGGTTGCCAGTGGCACCGAGGTTGGCATCAGACCCTCTTTGTCTAGTTGCTGAATGCCTTTGATTCGTTGGTTGGCATCCGCATTGCAGTGGGCACATTGGAAAGTTTTTGACAATCAGTGAATGAAAGCTGCAGTACTTGTTTGCTGCAACAGAACCCAGATAATATAAATCCCTTCTTCTGATAGATGTTTTACTTACTCCTACAATGGCCAATTAAAAAAAAAAAAAAAAGAAATTAAAGATTGCATTGCTGTTTTCTCTAAAACATAAAATATCTACAGCAATGTGCCACATCTGCAGAATTCATAATCCTCGCGTCATCTCTGCTATTTTTTTTTTGCAGCGTAAATAGAACGCAAACTTGATGTTAGGTATTTCGGCACATACTGAATGAAGCATAGTAGACGTTGAGAAACGCTTCGGGAGTTTAAAGGGCTGAAGCAACGGTACATGTAAATGGTAAATATTTGCGTCTGTTTTTAATGCATGTACCTCTCAGAGTGCACTTCTCAGACTGGTCAAGTCACAGTTTACATTCTCCTTTGTCCTTACGGCAGAGTGATATAATTGGGGCAGCCCGCATCCCCAGCTCTCGGTAAGCTCTGAAGCTGAGGGAGGGTCTTTTAAACTGTTCAAGAAGGAGGGCAGAAAATCCACGCGGATGTCCTTGGTCCGGCACCGTTCAGGCGCTCTCGGCGTTTTGCCTTCCCACGCCACCGAGATGCTGCCGCAGTTCGAGCCGCGTGACTTTCTTAGTGGGAAATCAGCAGAAAGACGAAATCGTTTCTGTTGGAAGTTTCCTAGATAGTTCGCGTTAATACTGCTTTCCGGCTAACTGCTATTATCTCGTTAATTAATAAGAAGGATTAGCAGCTCTACCCAAAAGGGCTGCACAGAAGGAAGCCCGGCCTGCGTGAGTCCCTGAATCGCCAGACCGTCTCCTGCCCCTTGGGAGCGGGGCCGGGGGGTGTGTGTGCCTGTGGGTGTGTGGAGGTGTGTGGGCGTGGGGGGG